TTCATGTCAAGCAAAAGAGAGAGACAAGAATCCTGAAGCTGTTGTAAATTTCAATTTTCCTCTTGGAGGAAAGCAAACTGTTTGTTACTTATCTGGAGGAAAACAAGCTGTATGAATCTCTTCCAGCAACTCGCTTAGCCTTTTCCTTCTCATCTTCAGTCTACTTCTTCCAAAAATCTTCTTTGAAGCAAGTTGCAAAAAAACAAAAAACAAAAAACAAAAACAAAAAAAAAAAAACCAATTTACAAGCAGGCCTCTACTTTGTTTCTCGACCCTGAGTAAGCCAAAGAGAATATAACCCAACTCGTCAACCAATTGCTGACCGATACAAGCTGACTTGAGGGCTTCATGCCAAGCAAATTCAAGGAAGGACACCGTGTCATCCAAACAAGCAAACCCATCTACCTTTTTTGCCACACAGTATAAATCATCTCTTTGATTACAACAAGCCTAGATAATCTTGCATTATGGTGAGAAACAGTTTTCTATTTCCCCTTTTTGGAAACAAGCCAAGTTACATTCTTCCAACTCCTACTCTACAAGCAAAGAATTTTTGGCGCTTGCCTTATTTCAAATCTTCTTAGCCCCTGTCCTATTTCAAACATCATGCTAGTAAAATTTATCCCACAGCAACAGTTCAACAAACTCATCACATCTTTGGAAGAAAACTCAAAACGGCCTCAAGAACTAGCTTGTTCTCTTTCTCACCCAAAGTCCCTCCGATCAAGCAATTCGAATCTTTCATAAACCTTCATATTGCAAGTCAAGATGAAAAACTCACCTTTATTCTATCAAGATCCCAGCAAATCAGTAAGAAGATGGCATTCCTCATGCTTTGGAACCTCTCAATCAAGCCTGAAAAAGAAACAAGGGAGTACGTTGGCCAGATCAGGTGCCGGAAGGGAACTAGTAAACAGAAAGGGGGTGCCGGAAGTAGAATCGCTATTAAAGCATAATGTTTTCCAAAGACAAGTTGCAACAGACTAAGACTCACTTTCATGCTATCAAATTAGACTTCCCATGCTTTATCATGCTGTCGAGCTTTTAAAACAAGAGAATATGTTAGCCAAAATCAGACGCCGGAAAGGTACTCATACACAAACGGATGTGCCGGAAGCATAATTTTCTCAAAGTGCAAGCAAACTCATCTATCAAGCATTTGAAAAAATTCACAAGGTGTGATACCAATTCACATACCAAGAAATTTCATTTCATTCAAGCATTCCAAGCAATTCGGGCATTTCAAGCAAATTGAAGAACTCATGCTCTTGCGACAATACCATTCCACTTCATGCTCTCACGACAATATTGCTCAAGAACATGCTCTAGCAATACTCAGATCAGCACTCAATACCAACAGAAAGGACATGCTAAATTCCCAAGCAAAAGCAACATGCCAAGCAAAACTTATACACAAGCTTTCCAACCATCCTAGCTAGAATATCCCACCTTTAGAAAATCACTATAAATCAAGCTTACAACCAACAAATCCCAGACTTTCCAGATTAGAACTAGACATATCAAGCTTCATTTTC